TTGACAGATGGAGAATGAAAGACCAAGGCAGACTAGAAATTTTAATGGTGTCGTTGTCACTCCATATCCAGTCAGAAGCTAAACATTGATCCTCCCCTCTGAGCCTACATTATAGATTAAAAAGAAACTTAGCAGAAGATGTCAAGAAAGTCTGAGAAGTATTGGAACAGGCCTTGTTAGATTTCCCAAACCAGTCTGTTACCATTAGCTGACACTTTTTTTTGTTGTTGTTCAATCATATTTGTATACATGTGTCCCTACTTCTTCAAACCTAAGTATAAAATCAGGTGCTTCCCATGTATCTTTGGGTCTTCATTCTTAAGGCTCCTGTGTCATGATAATAACACTATGATCAAGTAAATTTGTTATGCTTTTCTCTTGTGAATCTGTCTTTTGTTATGAGGGTTTTGGTCATGACCCTTATGATGGGGAGGAAAGGTATCCCCCTCTCTCCTCTCCTGCATCATGCTTCTGCAGAAGTGTACTCTGAATCTTTTTTGATTCTGAGTACTGCCCAATTCATGAATTGCTCTCTGTTCAAATAAATTGTATTAAATTTATTTTGTCTACAATTTCTTTTAACAATGGTATTCGATCATCAAGACCTTGTCAGTGGCTCCTCTTCACCTACAGGATAAAGTTCAAACTTTTTAGCTGTGAATTTCTCATCCTTAATGAATTGAACTTATTTACTTCTCCAGCTTAATCTTTCACTGCTGCCGTCCCTGTCCTTTAACATTCAGAGATTCCACACTGTTTTAAAGGCTCCACACACTTCGCAATGTTTTTCAAGTCAATGTTTTGACCACACTGTTATTTGTCCTGGAATCCCTTCCCCATTGTCACCCCTGCATAGGTATTACCTGCACATCTTACAAGGCGGCTCAGATGCTGTCTCCTTTAGCAAGACACCTCCAACACTTTCAGGCTAGCATTGTTCTTCTGTGGGCCCCAGAACCATGAGCAGCACATCTCTATATCTGCATTTAAAATATTATAATTAAATTACATATTTATGTGTCTGTGTTTTCCATTAGAATGTAAGCTTCCCGAAAGTAAAACCCTTGTCCATATATTTAAACAAATTTGCTAAATGCTGTCAGATTTTTAATGTTGAATTCTTTTGGTGTTTACTTCCTTTATGGCAGTCACTTTGTGCCAAATTCAAACATAGCTCTTAGGTCTGGAATGAAGCAAAATTTCAGCACTAGATACTGACTTATAGACTCATTTTACCTTCCCCACAACCTAGACCTGGTACCCTTTAATCAGATTTGGGTGCTTTTTCCCTCTTTCTTGTGATAAGCTCTTTTCAGGAGGATATTCTATTGATGAAAAAAAATAAATTCTTGATGTCTTATTTATCTGTGCTTTATACTTAAGATTCCCTTCTAAGAAAAATGAATGAAGCATGGGTTTCCCTGGGCTTGAAGTGTCTCAACCTACATGGAACTGAAAGGCAGGTACTAGAAGTTGTGTTAAGTACTCTACAGAGTAAGCAGTATACATTATCAGTTCCTGTTTTGACCTCTGTCTTATGGAAGAAAAGGACACAGAATTATTTATCCTTTTAAGAAAAGACAGTTAAGAGTGAGAGATGTGACTATATAATTCACAAAAGAGAAGATTTAGCTTTCTGGAATACAAGAAGGGCAACCTAATGTAGATTCTAGAACAATCCAAAATTTATTGTACAATTTCCAAAACATGAAGATAGTGTAAGATCTACCAGATAGAGTGTGGGTTTAGAGTCAGACAGGCCTGGATTTAAATCTATAAACTTATATTTTATCAATTTATTCCAACATTTGCTCTTTTGGCAAGTATTAATTGAACACTTCTTATGTTCCTGGAACTGTTAGAGATGCTAAGGAATCCATGGTGAACAAAACATAAATTCACTACTCTCATTTAAGTTATATTCTAATGGTGGTAGAAGTAGAACAAACATCTGTATAAATAACAATATGATTTCAGATAATATATGAAATGAATAAAACAAAAGGAGCTAATCTAGATCGTTCAGGCAGATAATCTAGATAGCCTTTATGAGTAGATTATGTTTGGGCAGAGAATTGAATGGCAAGAAGCATCCTACCATCTTGAACTTCTAGTGCACAGGCTCTAAGGAAAGAAAGATCTTGGCAGATTAGAGGAATAGAAAACAGCTCTGGGTGGCTGAGGAGCAGTTAGGGAGGAAAGTGCAGGAGGTGGGCAGTCAGAAAAGTCGAGAAGAGCCATAATGTATACAAACTTCAAGCCCATGGAAAGGAATCTGAATTTTATTGTAAAAACAATAAAAATCTTTGGAGCACTTTTAGCATATGACTAATATTTTACTTTATAAAATAATTCTGGTGGTCATGTGAAAAATGCAATATAAATGATGCAAATGCTTAAATCATATAAAGATTTATAAATATTATAATATATAAATTTATAAATATAATATATAAATATATATTTATAATATATAATATATAATTTAATATATATTATAAATATATTATATATATATAATACATATTCACTATATAAAAATTTATATATAGATTATATATGATATATTCATTTATATATAGATGAATATAAAATTAGACATTTTGAAAGTGCTATATTAGAATAAGTCCGTTATATTAGCCAAAGTAAAGGAAGATTGACTTATTCACAAAGCAGTGATTTTTTTCATGTTAATTTAGTTTAAATATAAAATAACTAAAGTAATAAAACTTATTACTCTGAATAGACAAGGGCTTTATTACTCTAGAAATTAAAATGCGTGAGAAAGCGCAAGCCAGTTTAGGCCCATCATTTCTTGCTCACAAGGGCTTACAGAAAGGCTGTGTCCAAAGGTGGTCAAATGTTTTAGAAGACTTGCTTAATGCAAGAAGGGCAAAAGACATGTGTCAGGATCCAAGGAAATGAAGATATTTTCTATTATAAATAGGATGCAATTAATGATAATGGTAACAAAAAGATATTAAGAAAAATTTTTTTTTTTTCCTGTGTGTTTCCTTTTCAAAAAAAGTAGTTCATGATAGAAGACTGAGTAAGTGGTAAATTTCCCTGGTTGGAAAAGGGGTGTCTACCTTTCCCCAGTTGACAAATGACCAGGTGGCATAAGGCAGAGACTCCTAAAACACTGCCCACATTCAGAGAGTGGAATGAGACTGAGGAGAAGCCTATAATTTAATGTCAGATTTTTCCAGCCATACATGTATTACATTTTTACCAGTTTAATCACTCTGTACCTCGGTTATATGAATTTGAAATGCTATTGCCTTCCTGAACGTATCTCTTTTGTGTACCCAATGAGGTAAAGGTGTTCTAAAAATCATACAGTTTTAGAAAATATAGAACATTATTACTATTGTATGGTTTGTCATCTTTTTGGAACTAAAGATCCATAATGACATGAAATTTGTTTATGATATGTTAAAAATTATACATTTAAAAATATAAAGCATTAAAAAAGTACTGCCTGGTAAATAATAGATAGAAATAATGATAGCTTACACATATCAAGCATTTTCTCTGTGACAGGCCCTAGGCTAAATTATTTTCATGATTATATCATCACATGCTCACTATACAAGCTGTTTTTGTCCTTCATAAGGAAAAAATTGAAGCTTAGAGAAGTTATGCAACTTGCCCAGAGTAAAAGTAAGTGGTGGTAATAAATAGTGGCTCTTCAATTTAAGCCAAGGTTAGTTTGACTCCAGAACTTGAGTCCTTTAATAAAAACTACCCTACCGTTTCTCCAATTTCCAATCTGGAATTTGATTAAACCAATTGTAGAAAAAGCGTGGGATCATCCAGTAATGACACTTAGAAAAGTAATTTTTGTTTCCATCTAACAAGAAATTCATAAATGTTATTGCCTATAGCCACAGTACCTCCAAGGGTTTAGACCTGCATGAGCCTGTTCATTCTGGGGGTGGGTGGTGAGGCTAGAGGCTGGAGTGTGGTGGGCTGCATGGCTACGTGTAGGTTGTTGTCAAGGGCTTTGCTTTTGTTGGGATGGTTGTTCCATGAGGCTTGTTACATTATTAAAAATAATCAATTCAATAACTAACTAAAAGTAGGTCTTGCCTTAAATGCAGCAGTGATGACTGAGTCACGAACCAAGGATTACGACTAATTCAAAATCCAATTCTTTGGTACTTACTGTCAGCAAAATAAATGAAAATGAAAGAAAGAGAGAATTACATTTGAGTGTTCTCAGTTCAAAAACTTTGTTTTAGACACCATTCCAGAAGCATCGTGGGAGACATGTTCTTTCCCAAGTGTGTGGGGCTCCTCTTCCAGCTAAACCATTGGACCCACAGTCTTTTTCAGGACAAATTCGAGCCTTAACCAAGCTCCTGTGTTGCTCCTTACACTTACCTGATGACTTGTCTTGGCTAGAGTCCAGCTCTTAGAGGTCAGGAGTGAAGTTTCTTTATGAAACAGAAAACTTTAAGCAAATTATTTTATTAAATATTTTTGAAGAACGGTTTGGTAACTGGACTTGTGGGGAAGTTTTAAATGATCAAGTTTTAAACATGGAGAGGGAACAAGGTAAAGACAAGACACAATGGTCATGGGTTAGCCACCTTGGAGGAGGCAGGACCGAAGCCCCTGCCAAGATTGACTCATTGTGGCTGCTGCTGCCGTGTGGCCCTTCCCACCTGGGAGTCAGCAAACCTGAGCTCATGTTTTCAGCTCTCCTTGAACTAGCTCTGTAAGCTAGGAAATGATAAACAATCTGTTCTTGCAGTTTTCCTTATCTTTAAAATTAAGAAGCTTGAGCAAATGATAGTTTAGCTTCTCTTTTCAGAAATGTATATATTTATACATATATCTACATATATATATATATATATAGAGAGAGAGAGAGAGAGAGAGAAAGAGAGAGAGAGAGAGAGATCCTTGAAGTACTTTAGCATACTGAATTATGGGCTGATTTTATATAAAACTATTCTTATTTTACAAATTGGTGGATGCTGAACACTCATAAGAAATAAGACGATGTGATATGAAGACAGACTTTCTGCATTGGGAGTTTATACTGCAAAAGTCCTCTGTAAGTAAGCTACTATACGCATGAATCAAATGCACATTCACAAGTTGCTTTTGTTCAAATTGGGTTCCCTACGCTCACTGAATACTCCTCATCCCCTTCCTTTTCTGTTTGTGTTTTCCACTCACTTAATTCCTTCCTAACTCCTCTTTATCCCTCCTTGGAATATTGCAAATGTGAGCCCTTGTTTATTCAACTTGATTACTGGGGAAGATGACTGAACATAAATTGTGGTTAGTCGGCTTTATTCTTTTTTCTCGTTCCATGTGATTCTTCTGCCCCGATTGAGGGGTGGAGGAATGCGGTATGGTTCCATTTAAACAGAAGATGTGTTTTTGTTTTAGATTTGCAGCTGGTTTGGCTTGTGGGGGTCATAGGTTGAAGGAAAATACATGTCTATAAGACTCAAAATGAGCAAGATAATTTAAAACCTGTGTTTAATATTAATTATTTCCTGTTTTCACAATAACAATGCAAAATAGGTTATTAAGATTGTTATTTTACAAATAAGAAAACTAAGACTCAATGAGTTAATGAGTTGCCTATAGGTTTGCCTGAGTGACAAAACCCGAATTACCACCTGGTGGGTGCTCACCATAGCCTCTGCGGCTTGAGGTTTGCTCACCAAATCCCAAATATATGCTTTAGATCAGTGATCAGAAATAGAAGACATCTAAGTGTTCAACAACCCCCCATGCTTCCTAACCATATCAAAGAATTTTTAAAAGAAAAGCTTATTTTTATTGTTGAATTAAAAGAAGATAATGATTTGCATTACTTATTTAATTAATATCCTAAATCAGTTTCCCTACACAGTTGATGCTATTGTTCCTTGAAGCATTTAATTGAATTCAGTGGTATGACTATGTAAAGGAATCACTTCTATTTCGCTGATGTCAATAGGAAGATGATTTCATCATAACCAGGAAAAATTCTGAAGCCAAACAGCATGCTAAGAAAATTGAACATAACCCTGGCTTGACATCTTATTGCTTTTGATCTTTAATCTATAGACAATCTATCTATGAATACAAACATATATGTCTTACTTATTTCAAGCAGTAAAATATCACATTAATGGGGGACAAATCCCAAAATCTAATGCCCTAGAAGCTTTTTTTTTAAAAAGCTAAATACAGTTCTAAGAAAACTTCTTTAATCTGATTTTGACCCTATTTACTAGTTATTAATTGTTCTTACCTCTCTTTTATGCTTTGTATCATATCCTCATTTGGAACTCTAATTCATCAAGGGATAAACTTAGGTACATATCCTCAATGTTCACCTATATCTGTATCCGATTGGACAGCTGTTCTGATGTGAAGCAAGTGGGCACATAACAGTGACAGAAAGATGTGGATTACTATAATTAGTGCTATAAATTGTCAAAGTATACATACATGAGGATCAAATGAGATTCCTTACTGTTTCTTTACTCTTGTTTCTTCTCTGTGAACTCTGCTATCCCAAATATAGTTGATAATGTTTTAATACTGACTTTGAAAACAAGATCAATAGGCTTGGATGAGAAGCTACAGATCCTTTTATGGAACCACTTGATTTCACAGATGAGAAAAACTGAGAATTAGCCAATCTTCTGATTCCTAGTCCCATGTTCTCTCTTCCACTCTACCCTACCTCTGCTTAGCACCTTCAAAATACACAAGTTGAACTCTTTAGTCAATGCAGTAAGTCACCAACTGCCTACTTCCTGCCCAACCAAGATGATGTTTGCAATGGGAATATTAATAAGTTGCACACTTCTATTGCTTTTTTCTAACTACTGATGACAAAACTCCTTAACATTAAGAGATTGCTTACTCAAAAGCTATGAGAGAGCCAGAAATACATGTTTGTTGTTACACAATAACAAGTTTTGAGAAAACAAGAATGAAATTTTAGGTAGCCTCAAATACCACTCCACTCTGTTAGAATGGCCTTTTTTTTTTTTTTTTACATCTGCTCATCTCCTTTTTCATTGAGACTTTAAAATGTAACAGTGTTTTCCTATGATAATTTCATGATATTTAAGGATAAGAATCTTATGCTATTTCATATTCAAAAATCTATATAGTGCATTTTGGACTTAAGAGAATCTTAAAACTAGAAAGATACCGTATGAATAAATAACAAAATACAAATCAAATCCACTAAGGTACACATGTATGATGCCATACTCATGAGCAAATATTAACTTTCTAATAAAGAAATGGAAGTACTCTTCAGTGAAATATGACAAATAAAGCCCATTTAAAAATGCCATTCAATATGTACTCAGTACCAAACCAAACCTGAATAATTCCAATGTCAAGAGTGTCCACTTTTCATATTCTGTTTATGTACTAGCTATTTGAGAAAGAACAGTGTGTTATTCTTTGTTGAAAACCACTACATTTATTTTGAGTTCTTGGTGCTTGAGAAAAACAGACAAAAGAGATAACTGGGCTTTGTCTACTAGAGTACTTTCAGGTAAATGTTCTACATGCTAATTTTTAAAAAAAGTAATTCTCTAAACTGTTTTTCTTAAAATTTTAATAAACAAAGTAACTTTTCCAGGTAGCAGCAGGAAAACATGAGATAGACTTATGAAAAACAATTGTTCCCTACATGGTATGCTGCACATAAATAGGTGCAGACAAAAACAAAAACAAAAAGATTAGTGAAGTAATACACATCTTGTCCTGAGCACCCACTGCTTTCTATGCTTTAAGCTTTTGGTCTAGGTCAACTGAAGCCCCAACCATCAGGGGCCTTGGAGCATTCTGACCACAATAGTCTTCTACATGCAGCACCTCCTATGCCTAGTGAGACTGCCATTTGCTTTCTCCTTCCCTTCTCTCCGCAACTCTACTCTTGTCCTCTCTATGGCTTTTCTCTTAGCTAACTTCCAGAATAGATTACTCTGGATGGACCTTTTTCATATGAAATCACTTGAGATTAAAGATAGAGTCATTTGTTTTCAAATTTCATTTGATCAGTTGGTGTCTTGTAGAGGCAATGCCATAATGGTGGAATTTTAAGCTTCGTGGGGAGGAAGTAGGAGAGATAATATTTAAAACATGGTCTTTCCTGGTTCTTCTACTCAATATATAGGTAAACATCATAACAGGCTGGTCAATTCCAATAATATGAACCTCTGCATTTTAAGTAATTCATTCATTCTACAAATATTTGCTGAATGTTAACGTCCAGGCACTATCCTAGGTGTTGAGCAAAGAGCAATGAACAAGATAGGCAAGATCCTTGCCTTTGTGGAACTTATAGTCTGACAAGGTAGATGTTATATTAAACAAGAAAGATTCCTGTAATCCTTGTAATGAAATGTGCAGTACAGGTTGCTATGGGAACATATGACAGGAAGTGTTAAGCTGCCTACAGAGGCAGAGAAGTCTCTGGGATGAAGTTAGAGCCAAAAACAAGGATTGGTCAGGTATGTTAGCCACCCAACAATGTCCCCAATGCCCTCCACTTCATTGGCCAAAGGTATTCTCTGGCTTTCTATCAGGTTTTTCTGCCATTCTAGCCTAAACGATGGGTAATACAAAACTTAGAGAAATCATACCCTTTGCTAAGGACTGATACTTAGTTGTTTTTTTTTTTTTTTTTTTGAGACAGAGTCTTGCTTTGTTGCCCAGGCTAGAGTGAGTACCGTGGTGTCAGCCTAGTTCACAGCAACCCCAGACTCCTGGGCTCAAGCAATCCTGCTGCCTCAGCCTCCCAAGTAGCTGGAACTACAGGCATGCGCCATCATGCCCAGCCAATTTTTTATATATATGCATTTTTAATTGTCCAGCTAATTTCTTTTTATTTTTAGTAGGGATGTGGTCTTGCTCTTGCTCAGGCTGCTCTCAACTCCTGAGCTCAAACGATCCACCCTCCTCAGCCTCCTAGAGTGCTAGGATTACAGGCGTGAGCAACCGTGCCCAGCCAGGACTGACACTTAGTTTTCACTTTTAATTCTTTATTCGGTTGTTTTGGTCCATGAGAGTAGAATCTTAGAGCATTGTTTTAAAATATGGTGCTCTTTCAGTCACAGATTTTGTTAGCGTGACAAGAAACTGACAGTTTGGGAAATAGGTGAATACTTAAAATTATAAAAGATTAATATACAGTGGCTGAAACAGAAAGAATGCTTCAAAGAAAAAGAGGAGTTCAAGTATTTACTTAAAATATGACTAAATAGTTCAACAATGAAATTCACAAAAGAAAGGACTTTAAATGACCTGGTAAACGTGATAGTGCACTTTATATTGGACACTACATTAAAACACGCACACACAACTCTCTCAATGGCTATGTGTTTTACTTAAGGTTCGATTAGTGATTTTAAAATAGGACTATTTTAAACATTGTGACATCAGAAATTTTTGTTTCAAAACAAAGGCAATATTTTTTAAACAAAACTTTCTGGATAGCCACATGCTAGGCACTCTGCCACTCATTACAAATGAAAAAGTACAGAAGACAGAAGCAGTCCTGCCTCTGTTGCTTGCATACATTTTTATTGTTTTATTCACACTCAAAGTGTACTTACTGCTCTAAAAACTTTCATAATTACAAGAATCCTTCAAAACATCATTTGAAAACAATAGCATACAGAAATTTTTAATCTACTTTATCTTAAGAGTGCTATAAAATTCTCTAAAGTTCAGCTGAGAATGGTTTTCATTTGACCACTCTGGCCAACAACCACTCAGTTGTCTCATAATCACGAGGAAAACATGCCTTTTTCCTAAATATTACCATTGAGAGGTGAAAAGTTAGTACTGTTGATAAAAATTATATACAGTTCTCAGCATTTAATCTTTTTTAAAAAGTAAAATTAAACATTGATAATTGTAAACATATTAGAAATTTAAGTATATAGTTGACTGAACCACAACACTACTGAGAAACAAGAGAAGTGCTCTTGAAACATCAAAAGCCATGAAATGAAAAAGAAACTATTGTACTAAAGATAAACAGAGAACATTAGAGAAAAAAAATGACTGAAAGTGAGAATA